ACCACAACCACCACAACCACAACCACCACAACCACAACAACCACAACACCACCACCAACAACAGCAGCAGCAACAACACCAGCAGCAACAACAACAGCAGCAGCAACAACAACAACAGCAACAACAACAACAACACGTCGGCACTCTATTGTTTCGGAGCGCCCAAAAACACCCACCCACCCCAACCGTCGTCCCCGCCCACGTGACGTCGCTTAAGCGACTGGGAATCGCTCCGGCTCTGCTGCGAACTGGAGCTGCGCTGCCGCCGGAACTGCGCGCTCGGCGGCGAGGCCGCCCGGTGGATCCCCAGTCGGTCCGAGGAGCCACGGCGCACCTGGCGGTCGGTCGGATCTGCGATGGACCTTTTTAATCCTTTTTAGATGGGCCAAGGAAATAGGAGGGTTGTTGGAAAAGCGTAGGTTGTTTTTCATGTGTTTCTTTTCCCAGTATGGTCCATATTGATGCTAAACGCATGCCTGGTGCCTTTCGTTGTCTTTTCTATACAATTGGCACATACATCTCTTGATCTGCGAGCCAAATGAAACAACACAAGCACCACTGCGCAAGATTGAGAACTGGACAGCGAAGTCAACTCATTTGTGATGTAGCCTATTGTACTGCCTAATGTCTGGAACACATAATTGAAAACATCTGGAGCCTTCAAAAGGCCTATATTCTATGACGGGACACTCCCGGCTTGTGCAAGAATCTCCGAGAACACATTTGGCGGTCATGACAAACCACGACATTGGTGGGGAACAAACATCCCGGTCTAGGCCAGGAAGGTCAAATCAAATGCAATGATTTAGGGCACTGACCCAAATAATACTTCTTCAGTCAGAATCTCAGGTGCCGTCCCCACTTCTGAAAGATCTTGGGGTCATCAAAATGTAGCACGGACGCCTTCTCTCTACCAGCGATGTTCTGAGCTTCCTCTTTGCCTCAGCAGCCGGCACAGCTTGGTATTTGGGGCACCCGCGGAGGGAGCTGGTGCTGGAGTCTTTGTTCGGGTGTTCAAGAGACTTGTCTGCTTCCGGGCAATCACTCCATCACTCCTTTTTGTAGCATTCTGCCAGCAAAGACACACTTCTCAGCGTCAAAAGATCTGATGGCAGGGTCGTCCATGTCCAACGGAACATGGACAAGTATCCTTTCCTACCAGCTGCTTCCGGGCTAGGGATCACCTGGCTGGATATCTCCACACTACGTAAACAGGTCTCCAGACAGGGCACCCTGACAGGAAGCGCTAGGTAGATTGAACAATGCAACATGTTTCACTTCTCGGAAAACCACCTGAACATCGGTTTCAATCGGCAACACACGCTCACGCTCATCAAAGTCAGAAACACATGCAAGCTTACTGGGGAAGCGAGCTTCCCGGGAGGGCACTACTGACACTACTTATGCCATCCACAAAATCGAATCATTCAAAGGTCCTGATGATGACAAACGAACTCCAAAGTGAGGATCCAACAATCCATATCAACAGCCAACAACCCTGTGATTGCCTGAGTGTTTAGGAACATGTGATTTCTTGCACACCCGGCAGCAACCAGTGGTGCCTGGCAATGAAGCACCCCGAACTATTTCAATACATGATTCGACTGGGCGGGAGCGGAACTCCTGTGTGAGTGAAAGCACCACCCACAACTGACATCTCCACTCATCCATTCATACACTCCAGTGCTCGTCTGCTGGTTGAGGCCCTGTCTTTCCAAACCGTCCGTGAAAAGCGACCGAGCGGCTGGTCCACTTCGTGAGCTCCTTCTTGGTGACAATGGCGATCAGCCGACAAATGTTGGCCGCCGCGCGGAAGACGAAGCCCGGCAAGCTCAGCAGCATCACCTGCACGGGACGGACCGGTGGAGCTGACGGTTGACGGGGTCGAAGGAAGGGCCATGGGTTTGGAAGGAAGGGCCTCACCAACCAAGGGGAGCAACTGGGGGTTGCAAAGATGTGGCGGAACATCTGCTTGATCATGATCCATCTACTGTACTTCGACAGTACGGTAGGTAGCAGGTAGCAAAACACACGCACAGAATCAGCAAAAGAGATTATAAGAGCAGTTTCCTCCCGTATTTGGCATTCCGCTTTGAGCCTTGAGCCTTGAGCCACAGTCTATAAAGTTATTGTGTTCAATTATGTTGTGAAAAAAGGCAATGACATTGAACGATTTGTTATGGAGATCGGTCAAAACCTGAACCCCAACCAGTCCACCATTTGCCGCGAGTTCCGACGAGTCCACCGCTTCCGGCTCGGTCGTGTCCGGTCGGTCTTCGCTGGTTTTTGACAGATACACTGGTCGACCCCGTTGTGACAAATACACGGGTTCCAAAGAGTGTGACGGGTCATGATGGATGTGTGGATTTCTCAAACAGGCCCATCCATCCGTCCATGTGAATTCGCGATTTGTTACGGGACGTATACAGGAGTCTTTCTCTCCGTGATGGCGTCTGATGGTCCACCCAAGTACGAGCGGTTTCGTACGACCCGCCGGTGGGTCTGAACCGAGCTCAGGACACCAAAAGAACACGTGAAGACTTATTTGCATGGCATCGCTTCTAAACATGCTTCTCTCACATGCTGCCCAAGTCACCAGCACAGCAATGGGCCCGCTGTCGACGATGAGGCTAAGGCCAAAGAGCTCGAAGCTGAGGCAAGACCAGAAGAGGTATTTCTTATCCTCGGCTCCCCTCCTCTTCACTTGGATTTGCTCCCAAACCCGGATGGAACATGTTCCATCCACTCCGACGAACAGTACATCACCTGAAGTAGTACACCCAACACCCCTCGTTTGGTAAAGGAACGTCGTCTTCCAAGGGGCCAGGTTCCACGTAACCATGTGGATGTGGTTCGTCAGAGTGTAGCTATTCCCGAGAAGTGGATTCACCCATCAGGAAACATATCACATTAATTCATTTTAGCAAAAGCAGCTTCAGCTGTACCTCACGTCTTCGAGGCTGGACCTCACGTCTTTAGGATTTTCCCCAGGCTCTGATTGGAAAAGAAACACTCCCGGCTCAGACACACACATGAACAATGGAAGCGGGTACTGGGAAGACTTCTTCCCCCTATACACCAAGCCTCTTGTCCATATCTGCGCTTCTGTCCCTGGTGTTCAGATGTGTTGGTTGAATGACAAGACTTAAAGAACCATCATAGAATCATAGGCATTTCCGGGCCACGGCACAAAAATTCACCAGATGCAATGCAAATCCGAATTCTTCCACATGCCTCAGCTCCCTTATCATCAGGAACCCCCCTAGCTATAAAAAAAGAGACTCCCTCCTAGGTCCTAGGATGGCTTTCGTCGACCGAAGAGACGCTCTTGACATGACTGTTGACTGTCTCGCTCTTCCCGTCGATCCGGTTTCAAGCTTCACTGAGATACTTCCGCACGATGGCGTAGTCATATCCTGGCCCGGAGGGACTCTCCTTTGGATCGTCGAGTCAGGGAGTCCGCTTGTGCAGCGACCCTGGGAGTCTGGTGGTTGAAGGGAAAACATCAGGAACAAGGAGTTCAGGATTCAATCCAAGTCCAAATGCAAACAATACAACAAGTAATGAAACATCCAATCCAAATGTTGAGGTTTCTTGGTGTTTCATGGTGGTTTTGCAAGAGGCGACAGCTCCGCCACTGCCAGGTTTGTCGCACAACTTTCCAAACCAAGGAGGCCTTTTTTGTCTGGTCTCAAAAGGGCCAACAACATCAACAACCCAATTCTCAAGTCTTGGCTTCATCCCGACCCCAAAAGTGAAAACAATGAGGCCACTTAAAACTAAAAGACCACAACTTGGACACACATAGGAAAACAAGAACACAAACAATAGGAGGCGGAGGCCCTTGACATAAACAAGCCATGGGAGTCCCATCTGCTTCTGATGCACCCCCAACACTTCTGAGAGGAACATCACCGAACTGTGCGCGATGAGCTCCTGAGCCGCGTGAAGGCCGATGAAGGCGAGAGAAGGGTCAGATCTCGCTGGTGTTCACCACTTACCACTTACCCACCTGGCCCTGTTCTGCAAAGAAAATCCCCAAAGCAAAAGGGTTATGGACCTGACTGGGCACGGATGACTTAGGCTTTAGAATCTGAAGTCACATAGGTGTCGTTGCATGTGATTTTGCATACGACCTAGGACCTATGTCATGGTACCCTGTTTCACCCAAACATGCCCCAACTGGTCTAATGAGATAGGACCTAATTCTGGAAGGTTGTGAACCGTGATACAGCAGGCACTGGTCCGCATATGCTCGGCTAGGCTTGATTTCTGTGAATTGTCAATCCGAAGGCTCATGAACAAGGTCTTGTGGAGATTATTTGCCTCTTCAGCCTCTTCAGCTTTTGCATGACTTAGGACTTCAGAATTGAAGGTCTTTCCGGCTAACTCCTTGGTCCTTATTAGGGGCAGTCAACTGGGCAGTAAACTGTCCTTCTCAGAAGGTACGACTGGACCCTCCTGGCACCTACATAAGTGTGTCTTCAATCACCTTCTGAGAAGGTGCTTGAATGCCTAGGGAAGACTTCCACACCTCTCTCCTCCTTCGTCGCTCTGTCGTTCCCCAGGGACGGCGGAGGTGTTTCACAGAAGTGAAACATGGTGAAACACATCACTCAAGGAGAGCTGCCACACCGAAACAACAACATCTGACAAAAATGAAACTCTCCTGAGACCATCCAATGGATGGTCTGAAAATCTGCAAGTTCTGGAAGGGTGGTCCAGTCAAATCATCCAAGATTTGGTCGAACTGCCCACTGTCGGCCCATCCAATCCAAACAAACCGGACCGCTGGTGCACCGCAGGTTCAGAACGTCCAATCCGGCGCGTTCCGCTGTTCGGTTGGTGGCTCTTCATAGGAACTCCCAAAGGTCGTCGTTTGACGGCACAAAGCCCCCCAGCCACTCCCTTTCTATCATCATGACAAACTGGAAGGCCGGGTCCTGTTGGGTCCACCGGTCCTGCGGTCGAGTCTTCGAGGCCGCCATTTCCCGCGTAACCGACCTGATGCTTGGAGGGGCACGACTCCTGGGAGCTGCAGCAGGTCGTGGTGTGCGCCCTTCCGCCCTTGCGGTTCCGCAGCGTTTCGATCCAAGTGGCCACCAGAAGGATGAGGGCCCGCAACACGAAGGCCACGATCTCTGCGGTGGTCCCGGTGAAACATGTATTCCTCGGGTCGTGACCCGCGACCGGTGGGCCCGGATGGGTGGGTCCAGGGTGATCCACTTCCGGGGGACGAAGTGGCTCGAGACCGAAACTGAATAGGATGGAGCAGACTGGAGGACGATGTTCCTCTGCAACCTAGTGGTGTTCAGGTTCCAATCTTCCATGCAGCTGTATGTCTTAAGTCATAGGGATCCAACGGACCAGGTCGGACGAAGTGAGGAAAACGGTTTTACGGTGACTCTGTGACTCTAAGATCCAAGTTCTTCAAGCGACGTGGGATGAGTCAGTTTCAGTGAACATCCTCCCACCCCAACGCTCTGCATGGAGCGATCGCCTGAATCCTCTCTGGAGGAGGGTCGAACCTGGTTCTTTTACATGGTCTCTCACCAATCCCGCTAGGTCTTCCAGGGACCGGGGAATCCGGGCGGTTTTCACGGAGCATCGTTCGAACGATGCACGGTGCCCCACTGGGCCCTGGCACTCCGCGGCACTCTGCGCCCGAGAGGCCCATCTAGCACAGATCGCGCGGCAAAATGAAGACATAAGCAGCTGGACACTCGATCGATGACCATATCCTGAGATCGCATAGCCTAGCCTGAATCGCTTCGATTCTGGTTCGGCGGAACCCGAAGATGTGACGCTTCGAACGCGGAGCATGGAACACATAGTTTTGCTATATGTTTTGGTGCATGATGCTGCATGTCCCCAAACTTGGGATCTGGATCAAGCAGAATGGCCCAAACATAAAATCTATAGCCAAGCATCTAAATAGTAGCCGAGCCTGGACTCCTGGTTCAGTGCTCGGGCCGCATAGCCATCGACGCCTCAGATGGTCGGTTGAAACTGGTGGTTGGGTCGTGAAATACATGGAAATCCGGAGGGTCCACGATTTGGAGAACACGAGAAACCACTTGTTTCGGCTACATTCTATATCCGCCGACCCCACACCGTGGGGTGAGGCGTGACTGTCGATGTTAGCCTTAGCCTTAAGCCTTAGCCTTAGCCTTATCCTTAGCCTTAGACCTAATCCTTAGCCTTAGACCTAGACCTTACCTCCCCTACCCCTGCGGACCCTTGTTGCAGTGACGAAATCCGGTTGGAATTCTCCAGGAAAGCTATCTGATTGCGACGTGGATTCTGCCATCCCAATTGGTTTACATCTTGGGGCACCCTCTGGACCCGCGCGGGAAAATAAGCACGGTCCAAAATGGTCCTGGGCTCGAATCCCGGGCTGGTCGCGGCATGGTCCCGGCCAATGCCCTTGCTTTTTCGTAGATTTTGTCACGTTTTCTGTTGGTTTATGAGATTTTCAAAGGCTTTTCTGGCATTTTCCTAGGAATGCTCTAGGCTTTGTCTTTTTGGGTACCTGCTTTGGTGGTGCTGGGTTGGGTCTAAATTCTTGGGCAATGATATCCTTTATGGGGACGAGGGTTCAGCATTACGGGGTTCATGCAAGAGATGACGTCCGATGGTAAACCTGGGAGGTACCCAAAAAGTCGACTTTTTGGGTACCTGCTTTGGTGGTGAAGGGTTGGGTCTAAATTCTTGGGCAATGATCAGGGTTCATGCAAGAGCTGACGTCCGATGGTAAATCTGGGAGGTACCCAAAAAGTCGACTTTTTGGGTACCTGCTTTGGTGGTGCTGGGTTGGGTCTGCACTCTTAAGGCTAAGGCTAAGGCTTAAGGCTAAGGCTAACATAGAGCAAGGCTAGCGCTAAGGTTCTATCCCTTGGGGGTCGGCGGCTGCAGGCGGTAGCCTGGTAAATCCGGGCGCCGGCCACGAAGCCCGTGCCCTGCCCGGAGGGCCTTCGGTGGTAACCGAAGGTTATAGACGCTCGCCCCCCCAACCGCCGACCCTCGTCACCAAAACGGGGGGACCACCGGGTCACTGATATCAACGTAATTTACAGGGTTTCGTGTGTGTGAGGTATAAAAAACACTGTGTTTTACAGGGTTTGGGGGCCCTCGGCGGCCGAGAATTTCATCTGGGCGATGTCAAAAAACCTGGGTTTTTTCATGGTTTTTGCTTTGCGGGAAGGAAAAAATCGCAAAAAGTTGTATCGGAAGATTTTTTCAACATAAATCGCCTAACATATCCCCAACATAGGCCCAAGATAGCCAACAGATCCCCAACATATGCCCCACATAGCCTCCAAGATGGCTCAACATAGGGCCAACATAGGCCAACTTGGGGCCAACAGACGCCAACATAGGCCCAAGATAGCCAACATATCCCCAACATATGCCCAACATAGCCTCCAAGATGGCTCAACATAGGGCCAACATAGGCCAACTAGGGGCCAACAGACGCCAACATAGGCCCAACATAGGCCCAACCTAGGCCAACATAGGCCTAACATAGGCCAACCTAGGCCCAACATAGGCTCAACTTGGGCCCAAGATGTGCCCAACATAGACCACATGGGCGCAACTTGGCCCAACCTAGGGCCAAGATGCGCACCAGATAGCTTAACTTTGCTCAATATAGGCCCCACCAAGTCTCAAAGAGAGAGAGAGAGAGGGAGAGAGACAGGAGACGGAGAGACAGAGAGAGAGCGGGGAACCAGCCCTGCACATACCCAAACCCAAATAGGCCGGCGCCCGGCTGTCAGGCGTAAGCCTCATAATATTGGCGCATTGTTTGGTGTAGCCGCCCCAGGGCTTTGAAGCAAATCCCATGACCGACACGGAACTGCACCTGGCAACACCCCTCTAGGACCCCTCCTTGGCCACCCCGGACCACCACGTCCGAGCGCCGAGCGCTGAAAAGAGAAGCCATCTCAAGTGGACCACGACTTGGCCCTGGGTTCCACAACAAGCCACAACACGTCGCACCAGTCGCGTCATCACCTAATTACCAGCTGCTTCCTGTCGGGGTTCCCTGTCTGGTGACCTGTAAGGTAGTGTATGGTTGTCCATTGGTAACCCCTTGGAAGTGCTAAGGTATAACCAATGGAAACCCATTTAATGTATACCGTATACCAATAGTGTATACCTGGTATACCAATGTGACCATTGGTATTCCATGGTATTCCTGGTCCATGTTGTCATTTCATCTGCCGAGTATTTCCGGTCAACGAATCTCCAGCCCTGTCCACGTGACCGAAGCGATGGGCTTCTGGCTTCTGGCTTCAACACATGGATGGCTCCAAAAGTGGCCCCAACAGCGACCTGTTCAGCTGGCACCAGGGCGCAGTCCAAGAGATAGCTGACGGAGTAGTACATGGCGAAGGTTTGACCATCTGGAGATCGAACCGCCCAGTACAACGCCAGGATTCGTCCATAATCCTTGAGCAAGGAAGCTGTTAGGGCCAGGATTTGGAAGTGGAGCTTAGTTAGGGCCAGGATTTGGAAGTGGAGCTTAGTTGAACACATGATTTGAGGCCACAAGACTTTCGACAGGTCGCTGGGTGGCCGGCTGCTCATCATCCAATTGTCTATGTCTTGCTCCCTGCATAACAAGGGTCTGGAAGACATCACTTGGATACACCAAGGTGATATGGACATTGATGGTTTGCGTCTTTGAATTGATTATGTGAGCTGGATTGCAGCTGGATCGTGTCAAAAGAACATCTGGGGAAATCCTACCCAGGCCGCAAGGACTTGTGGAGAAGCTGCTTCTTTGACGAAAAGGGTGGACCCTTTAGGGCGTGCAAACCTCATATTATACATATATCGCGCGATCCCAGTTGATTATGAAAATCTGTCCTGTTGTCCAATCAAATCGATAGTCATACAAGGAGTCCATCTTTCGCTTTCATGTGAGTGAGTCGTAGGGTACTTGCCGGCCTGGATCTTTTCAACACGAAACCAGATCCGCCAGGCATCTATGATGTTGGCCACATAGAAGAGCTCCTTGAGCTGCATCAGCCCCCACCGCGAAATCGGCAGCTCCGGTCTCTCCCGGACCGCCGCGGGAGACGCGACGTGAAGACGCTAAAGCCAATGCAGCAAAGGCGTGCTCCAAACTCTTTAGTCAGTCTTCCCAAGTGGTGGCTGGGGGGTGGCCAACAACACCGTAACAACAGGCCAATAAATTGAGTAAAGGAGTGCTGAGATGATACTGGAAAACCCAAAATCCTCCTCCGTGTGCAAACTGAACCAGGAACCAGTTGCATATACACCAAACTGCTAGCTGGCACTGCCCACGGTAACCTTTGAGAGATTGGTTCTTCCTCTCCAGGAGCAGGACTCGAAAGGAAATGACATGTACAGGTTCTTGCCAAAAACGACTGCCCGTGCACATTGCTGTTCTCATCATGAGCCCATCCAAAGAAAATCAACCAACCCTGCACCTATACTGCTGCCGAGTAGAACCGTAGCAAGCTCCCAAACAATAATGTTTAAGATAATCTTACAAATAAGTTATAAGCTATAAGTATAAAACTAAGTACGCATTCCGAATAACAGTACACCACACAATTTATTGTAAAACCAGTCCAACTACATCACTAGCATGCAAGTTTGCAGGTCAATCCACTGGAGCAACAATTGTGTGTGTGAAACAATGTGAAACAACATAAAACAAGTAACAGTCCCTAACTAACATGCAACATTTGAGAGAAGGGGGGTGGACGCAACGACGGGTGGGTAGCAGCAGCAACCTAGCATCAGCACAGGCAAACCACCAGTAGACCAGCAGCACTAGCACGCCAGCAGGGCAGTAGCAAACCAGCAGCAGAAAATCAGCATCAAGCCAGGAAATTAGAAGCAGCAAAAGATCTGCAGCAACACCAGCAAGCCAGCAGCAGCAAAGATAGATCAGCAGCAAAAGCAGCAGCAGCGGCGGCGGTGGCAGCAGCAAGGGCGACAGCAAGAGCGGCAACAAGAGCAGCAGCAAAGCAGCAGCTCGAGCAGGAAACCATCAGCAAACCATGGAAGCAACAAAACAGGAGCAATTTTGTAGCAGCATGAGGTCTAGCAAAAAGCATGGGAAGCAGGAACATCGGTGGGTTCCCACGCCATAAGGACGAGAGCATGAGGAGCCGAGGATGAAGCTCCGGAAAAAAAAAGCAAACGAGGAGGGAGGATACTTCGTAAGAAAGAAGTGGGTCAAGGTGCGTTGCATGAAATTGAGATACAAGTACCTAAATGTTTCCAGAAGCTGGATACGACTTCAATCAGACCCGGCCACCGCACCAGTGAAAGGACATTGACCCCCCACTTAATAAGCGTGAATAATTGTCTTTCGCAACCCCGAAATCTTGTCATGGAGGAGGATCCTAAGCTAAAGCTGAAGCTAATTGACAATGTCCGATATAAATCTTTCAAGGGGACTTGTGGTCGTTGAAAGATCATGATGACCATGAGTGCAAAGGCAACCAGTAGCCTCTGCTCGAGGCTGGTTCCAACATGTTCCCAAACCCCAGCTGTCCTGGATCTGCTGATCAGATCAAGCACCTGGAACATCTACAGGCATCTCTCAATATCTTTTCCATATGATGTTCCCCAGTGAAAACTGCCCATTGTTCAGGTCATTGAGTCACCGAACGTCGAACATCTTCTAACGGATCATCTTCAAGCTAAAGCTGCACTGATGTAAAATGCCCTAAACACCCCTCCTCCCCGCCCTAAGACGACACCGCCACCCGGCCGTTGCCAATCTTCTCGCCCAGCTCAAAGCTCTCAAGGCCTCGCTGGCACGGAGGCTCTAGTGGGTGAATCGTTTTTGGGGGGGAGAGCGTTCGCCGAACGCTTGGAAGACATCACAAGGTGTAAAAGACCATGTTTCGGCCTCCTTGCGAAACGACCCTGAAGGTCTTGGTGCCTGGGGGATCTCAAGCGGAAGTATTACGAAATCACAGCGAGAGCACCCGAGCGTCTTCAGGTCTGACACGCCCGGCCTTCCACATCGGACGTGGAAAACCTCTGAGAAGGCGGCTGGTATCAAAAGTGAATTCTCAAGGCTTCCATAAGGCTTCCTGGTTGGGTGTGAAATGTACTACCCAAAGTGAAAGGACGACATGGTAAGCCTAGAGAAGACATTACGTTGCATGACATAAGGCATTGATACAAGTACTGGCAATGATTCATGTTTCATCTCAGAACTTTGCCAAAAAAGAACCCAACAAAAATGCTAAGGTACCACTACATGGGATGACATGGTGAGTACTATGGTGAGTACTGTACACCACCGAATTCATTTTGAGATCCTCAGTCCGCCCGCCCGCCCCTCACCTCAGTCCGCCCCGGCCGGCACCGCCGGTTCCGTTTGGGCCCCGAACCTTCGCTCCGCCACCGTTGGATGCTGGCCATCCTGTCCGGTCGTCCGGACCGAGTGACTTGGTTGGGGTGACTTCGCCCAAACAACAGTGGAGAACGGCTAACCTCAGCGGATCAGCGTCGTTTGGAACATGGTTAAGCAGAAACTGCTTGTCTTGCTATTCAGTTATTCCTGCCAACTCTTAAGAGGAATATCCAGTGGCCCTGGCTGGGGTAGACAGGTTCTAGGATGGTCGCTTCTTTGAGGTCGGGTCGTTGGGGAGAGATCTCACGATTCGAGCTACACCAACCAAGAAAGTGATGCGGTGGAAGCAGGGGTAGCAAGGTCACAAACCATGCGTTTTTGGCGATGCATCTAATGAAACCCTATTGAAAACCCCAACCTGGAGATTCATTTGGCACCTCATGAACCCTGGAAGATACGACTTGACTTAACTCCACACCCCAGTATCTAAATGCTTGAGCCGACAGCTCGGCTTCCGGTCAGGAACTTCTCTCTCTCTCTCTTGCCCGAGCGGCAAGGTGCTTTTCCGCCGAGCAATGCCTGGCAGATCGGAAGGGACAAGGAGAAGCAGTACCAAACATGGTGGAATTCCTTCATTGCCTTCCTTTAAACCTATACTAAAGGAAGTAAAACAGGCCAACTAAAGGCATCCAAAGCGAAAAACCCAGTGCTTCTGTCATGGGGTCAGCCAGGTTCGAGTCTTTAGCTGGTTTGAGACTGAGATTTTGTCAGCTGAATTCACTGACTGAGTGTTCCAAGGGGAAGGGCACCTCTCCAGAGCACTGAGGGACTGAAATCATTCGAAGTCACGTCCAATTCGGACAGGGCCGGCGCCCATTCGCATTTCGCTGTCGACTCCTGACGCCTCGCCTCCGTCTCTGCATCATATTCTACCCAGCCCAAACACTCCATGTATGGAATACAGTATATATAGTTACATACATACTCCATGTACGACCCTGATGCAAGTAACTATTCCATAACATGGATGATCTACCCACTTTGGTCCAAAAAGGACGTCACTGACGTTCCTTATAATATGTCTAGTGGTGTCTCTTCACTATTGGGTCATGGCTCTGGGTGCTGTTTTCGCCCTGGCGCACCCTGCGAATGCATGCTGCACATGAACCGCTCTTGACTTGGGCACTTAATCGTCTCAGTTCTTACTTTTTCAGAGCACCACTCGTCAACGTCAACCTCTGGAACCTGCGCACGGTAGGTTTGTTCTGTGTTGGGCAGGTCACAGTTGGGATGGTGTCCCCACAACTTCGATAGATTTCGGAGTGATTTTGGGGGGGTCGGGTTTCTGCCCACCATGACTGAACTTCTGCGACGCTGCCATGCCACTCAACACTGCCCTTCCTTCCCGCACCTGCACTTTTGTTTGTGCGCTCGTCCGTGCTGGCCTGTGCAGGGGTGAGGTTTTGGACAGCAGTTTGGCAGGTGACTGGTCCTGGTGTATGCCGACGATGCGACCAACGGTGGGAAAGGCCAGCCTCATCACTGACCTGCAAAATAGGGCCATGAAACTGCAACGAACATAACTACAAGCTGGTCTGAAGGGTTGGACGGGTTATACAGGTTATACTATAGCTTCACTGGACATGGGTAGAATGAATGAGAGTCATGAGTCAAAGATCGGCATAGCACGTCATAGCATGTCAGGCCAAGTGCAGTGCTTGCCATGGAAGTGAACGAGACGACTCTCCTGTGGGGTCTGTCATGCTGTCAAGGTCAGCCCCTCTACCTGTTGAAGAACTAGAGCAAAAACTGCACTTTCCGTCACGAAGAAGCATTCTCACGCATTGAACAACAAACGACTCCTGTTTTGACATGTTTTGACTGTGCCGACCCTTTCCTTCAACGTCCATTGATGCCTCTTGATTGATCACCCCCCCCATTTGGTTGCCGCCTCCGTCGACGTCCGCCTTCTCTCAGGGACCTGCAGCGAGTCGGTCGGAAAGCCGGTGCCGCGCGCCCCAACCCGTGGGATCGTGGTGGGAAGCGGGTGGGAAGATGGTACTTAGCATGAACACAAATCCAAGACATGGCTTGACCGGATGGGAGACATGGCTTGATCATGCTGAACATGTTCTTGTCTTTTCCTCTCAGGATCTTGCATGGTTCTTAAAGGGGTCTTTGTGGCCAAGTGATACATGCCTATGCCAGCCAAGGGTGAGAAGCGGGCCCTGCGGGACAAAAGGTCCATGTTGCTCAATCCATGTGTGGCGGCTGTTTAAACCTCGTGCGGCGGCCGCACTGTTCGCCACACAATCCGCTGCTCGGGACATCGCCTGTTCGCGCTGCTCGGCTTCCTGCACCTCCTTTTCAGGCCGGGTCTTGGTCAAAGCCAAGGCCTCATAGCGGCCGCTTATGCGGAGACCGCTGGGGAGAAGCGAGCAGTTTCGTGATCTGCGAGCAGTTGAGTGTTGGAAGGTCTGGAAAAGTCTCAATGTTTCGGCCAAAAAGACAGGTTGCGAGTTGAGAGGATAGCTTTCAATGGTCTAGAAGTTTGCGGGGCCAGTCACAAATCTTCAAGATACGAAAGAGAGATGTGGCCCCACTTGACCTATTGACCTATTGACCTTGAACATTTGACCTATTGACCCTGCGGGCAATGGCACGTCCCTTTGTCGATCAAAGCGTGAAAGACCGCCGCCATTGGAGACTCTGGACTTGGCATGCCACACTGGGGTTTTCTTCAAACCACGTGCCCTGCC